GCAAACCTTTACCTTTACTTCTTTGAACTTGGTATTTTTGTCCAGGTGGGCAAAAGCAGGTAACATTTTCCAGAGAACATCTGATGCACCTGAGTCTGACAACATTCATACAAATGTACTCATCTCATAGGCCACACATCTTGATTGATCAAAAAATTAGCAATGAAGATAGCTTTCCACAGAGAGACAGGGAGTCATGCTGCTTTTAATCTTGCAGCATGGCTGTTGACATGAGCCACACATATTAGCCAGCAACAGTAAACTGATTGTTGATTCTCTCTTCTGAGGCAAGACTTCCATCATTATCCTTTTTCAGCCCTAGTGAAGAAAGACCCAATTTCCTACCTATGTGATTTATTGGTGCCATCATATTTTCTCATTAATCTTGGTTTGTAACAAATTTTGCTAAAATGTATGATGGGAGGTCACGTGTGCCATAACCACTGCATCCAGCTGTCTGTTTTGGATTTTTCTGAGGTGAATGGTAAAAACAATAAATGTCATGAGGTAAAGATTAGTAAGTGACAGCCCCTGGCTGTATCTTGAGTCTACATGCACTTATGGAATGTTGAAGAAGGGTAGTATGTGCCACCACAAAATGGCTGCCATGGGAGATGGGACCACTCACAAAGTGGCAGCTGTAGGAAGGGCGACCAAAATTTTTTGAGAGGCTCCAAATGACCTCCTATGACAGAAACAAGAGTTTCCAGATGGGCTCTATAAAATATCTCCTGCTTCAAGTAAGCAGAAGAAAGATAGGGTTATCTTTTTCCTTGAGGGAAGATATTTATTTACATTTGTCACTCTTGTTCATTGCCTCAGACTGCTGGAGTGCAATTAGGTCCCTTGGAGATTCTTTGTGGCCTCCTTATGTGCCAATTAAAGGTGCCGCCACCATGGTCTCCAACCTGCTTCCTTCAAACCTTTGTGTCTTCCAATTCCTGCTAGTCCTTTACCCCACAAGGTCCAGACAGATGTCCTGGACCCAGGGCCGGTGCTACCATTAGGTCAACCTAGGCCATCGCATAGACCACAGACATCAGAGAAGAGCAGAACTGATGGCAGGAGTGGGGCTACCTGGCAAGGCATGTCTGTGACGCGGGAGGTGAGGACACTTCTCCTTCCCCACTGGCGGGGACAGGAGAACAGCCCCGGGATGGCGGCGGGTGCGAGCACCTGTGAGCTCACAGGTCCCGCTCTCCCCCAGGCACCCTAGAAGATCTCCCCTCCCCTCCATATACACGTTAACCCTCTGTCTCCCAGTCAAGCTGGCCTAGGAACCCTGCCTACCGCTTCTTCTGCAGCCAGCCCTTCAAGTCCATTCCCTTGCTCCTCCCATGCCTTCAACGAGTCAGTCGATTTTGCCTGGGGGGAGGGCAAAGGACCACAGAGGTGAGCTGGGACCCAGGGCTGGGGCAAAAGCCAAGCTGTAGACAGAGAAGGAGAACAGCTACAGAGGATGAGGGCCGGGGTGAATGCCCAAGTGAGTGTGTGTGTGCACGCACACAAGCCAGGGTGGGGTTGGAAGGCCATGTGTGCTCTTCTTCCCCCTTGGCAATGTGGCCCAACAGCCCTCATAGGTCTGCCGCGGCCACTGCCATTGAGAGAGGAAGAAGGGGGGGTGCGCGTGCGGGGTGGGAAGGATGTGGGTGCCCTCCTTCTCCCTGTATCTCTCTGTGCGTCTCTCTCCCCCCGTCTCTCTCTGTCCCTCTCTTTCCCCCCCATCCCTCTCTGTCCCTCTCTCTCGCTGTCTTGCTCTCTTTCCCCCCTCTCTGTCTGTCTCTCTTGCTGTCTTTCTCTTGCTCGTTGTCTCTCTCTCTCTCCCCCCTCGTTCATTGTCTATCTCTCTCTTCCCCCCCTCGCTCGCTGTCTTTCTCTCTTCCCCACCTCTCTCGCTCATTGTTTTTCTCTCTTCCCCCTCTCTGTCTCTCTCTCTCTCACTGTCTTTCTTTCTCTTCCCCCCCCCTCTCTCTCTTCACCCCTCACTGTCTCTCTCTGTTCCTCTCCTCTGTCCCTCTTCCCCCATCTCTCTCTCTCTTCCCCCCTGTCTGACCCTGTCCCCCCTCTGTCTTCCCTCTCTGTCCCTCCCTCTCGCTCTCTGTCTTTCTTCATCCCTCTTTTAACTGTCAAAAAGAGATGGGAAAGACCTCTGCCTGAGATCTGCTGCCAGTCTGAATGGAAAATAGTGAGTTTGATGGACCAATGGCCTGATTCAGTAGAAGGCAGCTTCATGTATTCAAGGGCAGAATGCCTACGAAAGTGCACACGAAACGAGATTCTGATGTGCCTGAAATGGAAACGTTAAAGAGACATTAAATTTCAACATCACAATTAACAGGATTTTTCAAAATGCTTTGTGATATGTGTTTTTCTGTTTGATAGAGAAAATCAGAGATTGTATTACTTGTTCTAGAGAGAAGGTACCCTCGCCTAGTGTGCAAAAAAACTGCCTGGACCTCCAAAACCTCCTGCTGGCATGCCTCCCTGGCTTCAGCTGGGATCTGCGACCCTCCCATAGCCTGACACCCACCTCCCAGCACCCACTTCAGCCCCACCTCTTCCTCCTGAGCCTCCTGACCTTTAGGCTGGGACATCGCAGCCTAGCCCCCATTCCTGAGCTCCGGCTGCCTCTCTCTCTGACCTTCTTTCCTTCAGAGGCTTGCTCAGCCACCCCACGTTCCCCACGTTCAGCCCTGCCTTCTCCTCCTCCTCCTCCTCTTCGATCCATGCGGCTTCCCACTACACAATAATTGCCTCTTCTACTTGCCAGCACCTGGCTGCTTTTTGACATCCTGGACGACAGGGGCAGGCCCTGTTCTCCTGCCACCCTCTGCTGACCTCCTGGCATATGCCTCCCAGCCTGGCCCTGTTTTCTTCTGGCCAGGCCTCCAGGAGCGTCCTGATGGCACCCAGGTGACTACAACATTATTTATAATCCACCTTTGTCAACAGGACTCAAGGCAGATTGCACACAGTCATGGGATAATGCAATAGGATTAGGAGTGTAGAAATCTGGAACCAACCAGAAAGCCGAAAACAGGACTGAAGCAAAGCATAAGTATTACCATGACAAATTAAACAATGCAAAAAAACACAGTAGTATAAACCACAGTCCCTAATCATTTATCTAAGTCTGTCAACCATATTGTACAGTGCAACCCTCTTACCTGTGCAGTGAAGGCCTCTCAAATAATTCTGTTTTGCATAGTTTGTGGAAAGCCGGAAGAGTGGGAGCCTTCCAGCAGGCCACTGCATAAGGTGGAGGTCCCAATGGAGAAAGAACACATATGGGCAGTTTTTGATTTTGCCCATTGGCAGGTTGACGCCTGCATATGCTACAATGTTGTTTGGTTGAAATTTTACTTGTCCCACCATTGATAAGGAAGCACCATTTGTGGCAAATGTTCTTTTGAGGGAGAGATTTGGTTTTCCGCCTTGCCACAAATGGTCTTCCTGCAAAACTGATTGCTGATTCTAAGAATTCAGAGCCTAAATAATATAGGTGTCATAGGCTCAGGTTTATGTGTATGTATAGAATTACACAATATGTAAAGCTCAAGGACGTAACAGTGCCCCATCCTCATAAATTAATTGTACAAAGGGTCACCAACCTCCAGGGGAGCCTGGAAAGCTTCCAAAATTACAACTGATCTCCAGATGAAAGAGATCATCACTTTGTCAGGATCAACAGCATGCAAAACTCCACACACGTCCTGTGCTGCCCCAGCCAGCTTTAATGTACCTTTAAGAGTAGTTGCACCCTGGGAATTGAAGTCCACAGTTAGGGGTCCCAGAAGCTTCCCTCTGACTGGCTCATTAAGAGCAATTTCCTGCGCTTAGAAGCGCAAAGATAGGTGTTTATTGTTCCTTTCCGCTTCTTTGTCCACCAACCCTTACTTGCAAGGAGAGGGGAAGCCATCTCTTCTCTCACCGCGGCTATAGAACTGACCTAGATCACAAGATGTAGCTTTCCACCCAGATATATCAGCTGATTGTGAGTAAACTATTTTCTGACTGCGTGTGAAGTTGAATAAAGATGATTTAGGCTCTCTCAGTAGTCGTGGTTGACTCACACCTAGAGGCGTTGGCTTAGCACAGCTAGCGCTGGACGAGATACGTCCCAAGGAATCGTTATGCTTTATTAGTCTACAGGTCTGTTGCCAGCTTATACAGGTACATTGTTAGGAATAACTGTGAAGGCTGAGGCATATACCATGATGCTGCAATGGGCTAAGCAAATGAAATTCAAGCACGCGGGCGGGAAATCTCCCGGCGGGATATTACATCATGAACGGGAGACTCTCCGTGCACCATGAGAGGAGAAACATTCACACCGACAGTGGAATGCAAGCCCTCCCTTCTCCTCAAGGTTATGCAGATAACACAGTCTGGCGAAGCCAGTTTGCACAGTCTCATGAGCGCCTCCCGATAGTTGCTTACAGCGGTTAAGCCAAGCAAGCAAGCAAGCATGCGCTCATGCGCTACAGACAGGGAAGAACGAAAACAAGGAAAGCATGGCAGGTAGCTGACACACTTCCCCTGGAGAAAATGGCTGCTTTGGGGGGTAGGCTCAGCCTAGGGCATTCCACCCCACTGAGTTCCCTCCCTTCCCCAAGCCCTGCCATCCCCAGGCTCCACCCCCCAAATCTCCAGGCATTTCCTGACCCAGAGTTGACAACCCTAATTGTACACAGATATCTTTCATGCTGTTACTTACAATACCCTTCCATGCAGAGTTACTCCAGCCCTTGACATCAGTGGACTCTGCACAGGATTTCACTGTCAAGAGCAACATCCAGTACACACTCAGAGGAACTGCCTTTTGCCATCAGCCTGCAGATCAGTATGTGATGATTCAGGACACTGCAAAAACAGCTCTCAGGGTTCATCCCTGGTCTTGGATCCTAGTTGAAATGTAGCATTGAAACAGCTGGACTCACTAAAACAATATCCTTTGCTAAAATTTATGATTATGACAAACAAGAAGAATTTGAGTCCGTTACAAAGATTTAATGGCTTAAAAACAGAGGAAAACAACAACATTATTTTGTACCATAATGTCACAAACAGGAAGAAAACACTAAGAAAGGAAGTCTCCTGCCTCCATTTCCTCTTGGATACCCTTGAAAGAAGATACTCAAATCAGTTTGGCTGAGAGCACTTTTCCAGAACACTCCCCAAAGCCAACTCGATAACCATGTCCTTGACAGTAGCCTGCAGGATGAGAAAATAAAGTGGTTAGATAATCTTCTGAGCAAGAGCATGGCCTTGTTTGTTGTGGCCTTGAAACTGAGCAATGAGCTCTCCAAGGACACGGGGGGGGGGCATTAGGCAAATAAGAGGCTTACTGAACTCTTTTTAGATGCTACCAGGCTTATATTGAAGCCTGTCATTACAAACTTAGCCTTTCAAACAGCGTACCCCAAACATAATGGAACACAGTTCCAGGTGGTCAGCCATGCTGGTCTTAGTAGAACAAATCTGGAGTCCAGTGGCACCTTTAAGAATAAACCTTTGTTGGTCTTAAAAGTGCCACTGGACTCCAAATGTGTTATAATGGAACACATTCTCCTTAATTGTGAGTGACGTGCTTGCATGCCCCACATACACTATTTATTTCCAGGTTGTGTAAGAGGACTTAACCACACTTAGAGAAGGCAACCTCATGTGTTTCTGGGGAATCACTGTTCTGATTGGAAGGAGGTAAGCCCAAAGTAATGACTCATCCAGAGATGCAGCAAGCAGCCTCCTCAGGATACCTTGCCAAAGACACTTTTCAGCTGTTAAAAGAATTCAAGAGGGGACACACACACACACACACACACTCTTGATAAATAGTTTTGGGTTAATCTTATCACCTTCCTGCAAAGGTTAAGTTAATTTCTACAGGGTGTCGAATGCATGAATCCATCATTCCTGACACAAGAGTTCATGGTTTCTCAAGTACTTTCTTCCTCAATAAGCTGAACCTCATGAAGACCTGGTGTTGAGTGTGATTGACTGGGAATCCTGACATAGGTGATGTGAAAGACCCCTACCTGAGATCCTGGAGAGCTGCTGCCAGACTGAGTAGATAAGTCTGACCTTAACAGACGAAGGGTCTGACTTCATATGCTCACTTAGCCCTCCCACTTGTGAATCAAGCACCCACGTTCCTGCTACTTAAACCAACCCCATCAAGATACTTCGAGCACCTCACCTTTCCTCTCACTCCACATATATACACACCTGTTATGATGACTTCATCCCCATCTTGCAGAAATTTACGGGACTGGCCATTCCCAAGGTCAATTGATTTTGTTCCCTTCCAAGACATTTCCAACATGGAACCAAAGTTCTCGGGATCCTGAAAGATGAAGCAAGGACAGATATTTATTTAGCATCAGAGTTTTTTAAATGATTCATGCATGGTAACCTTTGGTACCACTGGCCTTCAAAACTCAAAGATGCTCTGCTGTCCTAAAGAATGTAAAAAAAAACCTTTATCAACTCAGTCAATTGAGGTACTAGGCTGATTTGTTTATCTCTAATTTAATCCTTTGTTCTGTGGAAGATTGCCTACAGAATGCTTTTCTAGCGGATGCCTTTGAAGTCTACAAGCAAACTGTTCAAACAAAACAATCTATAAAGAATCCTAATCAGGGAAGTACAGGGAAGAAATGTAAGCACATCAGTGGCATATGGCAGGATTCTCTCTCTCTCTCTCTCTCTCTCTCTGGCAGAAAAAAGACTACTACCACGTCCACCCCACCCCTCTCCCACACATTGCACTGTTTTTTAGGGTGGGATTATAGTCCTGAGGTGAATGTCAGCTGTGTGGCACACAACTATAAAAAGAAACATGAGAAATTTATTCCCCACGGTCCCCAGCTTCATTGACACAGAATGCACGCATAGCATCTAAGAGGGGGGAAAAACAGATGAGGGCAGAAGATAACTCATCTTTGCCCATAAACAGAACTTAAAAGACATTAGGACTACACAGGGAAGGGAGGTGTTTAATCATTCAGCCTATGCTTGGTCTTGCTAATTGAAACCAAGTTTCCAAGCTTTGGGTTTTAATGGAAAATATGCACCTTTTTCCTTTTAAATATTTACAGCACAGCAGGAGAGACAGTTTTGATTAACAAAACCAAGTGGCTTCTTAAGGGTCAAAACATCCCTTCCCTGCATGCCTTTAATGCCAATTTTGTCTGCAGAAGCCTGCAATTTACATCCTATGGATTCACATATGAATAATCTCTTTCTCTGTTTGCCCTAATATTGGCTACTATAGAATGCTGTCCAGCCAAACTCCTGGTCTGTTGCATTAGGGGTTAATTGCTTTCTTAGACGTGCTTCTTTCACTGTTTTATCTCCCATGCCGTTTATCTTCTCTGCCAGGATGGGAGGGGAGTGGGTGCTGGTGTGAATGTCTGCTTGAACTTGCATAGTATGTACAGGACCATGGGAAGTGCATGATCTCAGCTTCTCACTTGACCTTGGAATGTAACTGCTAATTTGCAGGTGGGCCGGCCCTGAGGGTAGGCCTAGAGCTTTCGTGGTCTGACTGCGAACATTGATTGGGCAGTTTGCATAGGGGGGCTTGTCCTGGTTTTTGTATAGGGTTGGACCTGACATCCGGTGTCCAGTTCTGACACAGAATCTGTCTATGCTTGGAATCTCTTTACCTCCAAATAAACAAATCATGCTACTGCAAGACTGTCATGAGAGTGATAGAGTACAGGACTTGACAGCTACAATCTCCATCAGAAAGAATGGAGACCTCCTAATTATCTCTGCCCTACAGTAACTTGAAATGGATGAGGGACATCCATGCAGAAGACCTCTTCCATTTGTAGCTTGTGACATTCCCAGTCCAAGGTCTGACTGCATGATGCAGTCTTCAGCCTGTTTTCCTCCCACTGTGCCATCAATGTAATCATCACATTCATACTTTTGCAGGAAATGTGGTGAGTCTTGCTATGGGAAGGCACAAGACCGCCTTGCTCCCAGTATTTGCAATGATCCTTGGAATGAATCTCCATAATGGTATTTGCTACTGTGAAGATCACAAAAGGGACTCAAGTTCTCAGGTCTTGGTATGTGCCAATAACATTATTGGCCTGTCTGAATCTAAAGGCCTCAAATTGCCTGGTCTAGACCATAGGTCACTCTAAGCTGGTGCACAAAATTTTAACAGGCAGCTCTTTCAGCTCACGAGGCATTTCCCCCCTCCATTGGAAATCATGGAAGATGGGGGCACCTCCTTATGGGGCCCATAGAATTGGGACCCCCTGGTCCAATCTTTTTGAAACTTGGAGGGGGGGGGGTTGAGGAGAGGCACAAGGAGCTATGCTGCAAATCTAGTGCCTCTACCTTAAAAAAAAAAAAACAGCTCCCCTAGAGCCCAGATACCCCTGGATCAATTCTCCATTATAGCCTATGGGGCCATTAATTATAATGGTCCCCATAGGCTATAACTGAGCCAGGGGGAAAAAACCCTAATTTTGCACACCCCTCTTATGCTTTTCAGTATGATTTGTAAACTGCCTTGAGTCACAGGGAAAAGCGGGATATAAATATTTGAATAAGTAGCTTGGGCAGGCTGATAACATTTAAGCAACTTCATGTTTGTTATATTAGGCCAGAGTTCTGACAGTGATTGTTCCTTCTTTGTTATACTTGACCTGTAATGCTGGTTGTAATATTTCACTTAAAAAAAAAAAAACTAGACTGCAAGAGTTTTTTCCCTCCCAAGTGCTGGTATGTTTTCTAAGGCTCAGCACAGGGCAACGGTCCGAGGCCAGGTCTACCAAGGTAGTGGACTGGGGTAAGTACACCTGTTCTCCAGAGGCCAGGTCCATGTCCGATCCCCACAACTTACAATTAATACACATTTGTAGCAAAGTAGTATTTTATTGAAGCCATGATGGAACAGGAACACGTTCACTGTTTAGAATAACTGGGAAAGGTCAGAGCAGGGGATAGTAAAGCGTATTCAAACCGACAATAACCAATGGACTTGGTTCCCGCTCGTGCGGGTGGATTCTCAGATTCGTGCTCCTAGTCTGAGAAGCAACGGTTTCCTAAAAGATAAACAATTAGCTCTTCTCACACTCTAACTCATTATAGACTAAGCGAAGCCGTCTCCTCTCCGCACCTATGACCTTGCAGATAAGCACGTTTCAAAGCTGTACTAGCGTTCATAGAAAGGAATGCATAAGACAAGCATAATAGCAGGGCATGCGCAGATGGAGATGGGGTTTACATACAGGCTAGTTACGAACAGTACAGAGTTCTATGGCAGCTTGCTGACAGTCCATCGATATAGTGGAGACCAGGTATACCAATATAGTGGACTGTGGTGGGTAGATTTTTACAAGGTTATGGAAGTAATCTTCTAAGAAACTAATTTACATGATAGTCAAATGTAATCTTGCTCACAACTTTAATACTACTAGTTTTTTTCACTCACAAGGTAGAATTTCTGCTCACAACACTGTGGGGCTTAGAGGGAACACTGGTCTAGACCCATTTCAAACCACATCAGGACCCTTGGTGGTCTGGGGTCCAGCCCAAATTAGACCTTCAGGTACCTGATCATCCCACGTCTGTGTTGAAAATCTGGTTTTGGTGTAGTGTAGCAGGAGGGCTGGAGGTGGGGGATGTGGTGGAGTGACACTGCAAGTGTGATGGGAAAATCCAGAAGCAACTGCATTAGCTCTAGGAATTGCTGGAAACTCTATAGTAAAACATGATGGTATGACTTTACCATAGAGTTTCTGGTAATTCCAAGACTTATGCTGTTTCTTCCAGCTTTTCTCCAGAAATGACATCATCATGCTCACAATGCTGGTGAGTTTTTAAAATCCCTCTACCACCACTGCTTGGAGGAGCAGCAGGGAACAGGAGCTTGGGGTGGCAGATTCCCCAACCCGACGCGGGGCTTGGCTGGCACTTATCTCCACCTCGAGTCCAAATACAATCACTTTGGATAAGATGATGGCTACTGAAAATACTTACAGGTCCGCTGATGGTTCCAGAGGCCAGGAGATCTCCAGGCCTGAGGTTGCAGCCATTGATGGTGTGGTGAGCTAGCTGCTGTTTCATGGTCCAGTACATATGCTGAGAACAAAACAGAAGCAATTTAAGGTGCTGGCCACACCTTTAATCAGCAGGTTTCATTCTTCCCATGCTAATTAAGAGATCAACTGTCTGGGACATCCTTTCTCTGAGACTCAGATCCTTTTACAACTGAAGCACGCTGCTGGAACTAACATGAATCAATGAAACTCACTGATTTGTTCCCCAAATCTACAACGCAATTACAAACACAGTGAGGAAGAGGCCAAAAAATTCCTTGTACTCTGTTCCCTTAGGAGTTCATAGTTGATAGCCAGCACCTTCACCCCCATCAGTGGTGCCACAGGACTTTCAGTCCCTTTATCTTATCCTGTAGAAGTAAATGGCTGTCATTTACTTTTATAGCAAAAACCTAACAAAGGCGTAGCGAACAGCTCGGAACCTCTCCCCACCCTGAACCCTGATATCAGCAAGCCAGATATATGGGCTTTCCAAACTGCCTTTGTATTCCATTTTAGTAACTAGTTGCTAGTGGTTTTTCCCCTGTCATTTCAGACAACCCCGTTTTAGTAACCGGCTGCTAGTGGAATTTATTTACCATTTCATACAAACCCACTTGTGTCAGGTTAGCAAAGTATGGTTGAACCGCTTTTGAGGGAAACTACTTTTTTCCATTTTCTACCCCTTCGTTGCACTTCTGAATCACTGTGGTGTGCTGTTTAAAAAGTCCATAGCACTTCCTTCGATGCCGCTTTTTTCCCTCGGACTTTTTTTAACATTCTAATGTGAGTGCTATAGTGCTAAACCGCTATAGTACTGAAGTGCTATAAACGGCACCATTGAAATGCATTGACTCCCTTAAAATGTCCAAGGAATATCGCATGGTGAAAAAGGGTGGGGCGGGGGACGTGGCACTGTTTGAAATGACCATAACACTTCAGAGACAGCTCATTAACAGAAGGAAGTTAGCTGAATGAAACCCCCGTCCCTGTATTGCTTTATTCGAATTGAAAATGACATCCCCCTACCTGCAGTCCAATGTCCAACCCCTCCCATCTGAAGATTCTACCACTTCATCCAACTGTATTTATACACCACACGTGAGCTGCATTAACAGAACTTGCTGCATATGAGGGAGCCCAGTTCAAATCCCTGCTCAGTCAAGAATTTGAAAAACAGCAACAGAAACAGGGAAATGTTTCTTACCTTAAAGTTTGAACTGCAGATAGTAGCCGGCTTGCTCATTCCCTCCCCTGAAAAAGAAGTGGAGAACACAGAGGAATCAGGACTGTGTCAGTGCGGCCTTTTCAATGCAAACCAAACAGCTGTCTCCAGGTGCAGCCTAAATGAAAGCCTACCTGTGCAGCCTACATGAAAGCAATTAAACCTATTGGAAAATGGTTGCTAATTGTCCATAATTTGTTCTGCTTCCATGAGCTGCGAGGAGTGGTAAACAGGTAATGTTTAAGATTTTGACCTATGGGATTGGAGATGATAAAATCTAAGTGGACCTTATAACAATATAACTGTTTCTTATAGAGAGTTCGCACACTCATTCTGGCCAATAATCTTATTCCTGCAGTGGAAGAATGGGCATGTCCTTCTCTTTCCCATATAAGAGACATCAGGGCTGGGAAGACGCAGGTTCAAATCCCTATTTAGCCATGAAAACCTCTCTCAGCTGAATTTACCTCACAAGATCACTGAGAGAATTAAACGAAGGAGAAAAACATGGAGAAAAGCATGGAGCTCCTCAGAAGAAAGGGTTAGAATCAGCAGCCAATAGGCTGAGAGGCAGGCCAATATGCCAAGGTCAATGCTCTCTGTGGAGTCTGACTGTACCCAATACCCACTCCTTTTCAGGGTGGTCTGCTCAAGCCATCTAAGAAAAATCAGGAAGGACCCATTTGGGGGAATATACTCTCTCTGTGAGCGCAGCAGCTGCCGCAATGCACTCCCAAACATTCTCAGGAGGCCCAGATTGCAATCAGATCAGCTGTCTGAAACAAAACATGGAACAGCCGCATCACAAATTACATGTGCCAAGGAAGGAGCTTGGACACCACTTTCCATCGCAGGAAGATTACCAGCTGACAACATACACCAGCATTTCAGTGGTCCCATTATCACTTCCCAATGTGATCATCGGGACTGTGCCTATTCTGGAAGGTGTACAAAACCCAGCTTCCAGAAATCCATATATTTTTAGTAGAGCTTGATTCCTGGGGGGATCTTGCGAACAGGAGAGGGGAGCGGAAGGAAATGGGGCCCAGCAAACTCTTAACTCAAAATTAAAGGAAATAATGTCCAAGCATGAGCTTCTCTTTCTCAAACAGCAACTGCTTGTGACCAAGAATAATCATGAACGCATAGCATTCACACAATACTTTTGGTAGTCATTTACATGGGCTCAGATAAGAGGCCCTGATTTCTACTGGATTGATCTGAATTCAATAGCATTATGTGTGTTTTCATCTTTGAGATACTTGGAGACTGTCTTGAGTCATTTCAAGTTGGCAGGAGGAAGAAACATAGCAAGAAGGTCTCAAATACTGCACAGGCCAAATCCAAAATGGCTGCCACTGCCGGCAAAGAGGCTGCAGTTTCTACTGTCCCTGCTCTTGACTCTAATGGAGAGGCTGCTTCCTTTACTGTTACTGGTCCTTGGTTGTGCTCCCTTAAGAGGGATACTTCAGGATATCAAAGGCATTAGAGAGTTGCAGGGAGGTCCCCTTACTGTTCAATCTGAAATCAGTGAACTGAACTCTCTTCAGAAGCAGACATCTGAGCGATTTACAAATGCAGAATGCAGAATTTCCAGCCAAGAAGATGCTTCTACCTCCACCACACCCTCTGTTCAACAGCTCCAACCTGAGGTAAAAACCTTAAAGTCTAAAAGTCTACTGGAAAGCAGAAATTGTCATAAGTATTTACAGTTGGGGGGGGGGTCAGATAAAAACTGAGGGGAAAAATATGATGGCTTTTGCCCAATCTGTTTTAAGGGACACCTTATCTCTGCCCAAGGACTATAATCTTACTATTGGAAGGGCACACAGATCCAGAATGCAGCAGCCCACCCCAGGGCCGCCATCTTCCACTTTCTGAACTTTGTCACTAAAGAAGACCTGTGATCCTGGGCAAGGGCTATAATACAGTAATGGGCCCTCTTTTAGACAAAAGTGTTAGGGATTTCCTTACCTCAATCTGATCTAGATACATCCTTCAAGGCTTGATGTAGGTGCTTATTACTTCCATTAGACAGAGAATATACATAAGTTTCTCAGACTCGGAGAGTCAGCTCTCAATTGGACTATTTTCTTCTCAGTGGCTCCTTGCTATCTAAAGTGCTTTCTTGCTCCATTGGTTACCTGTGTTATTTATGACCACTCCCTTGTTTCATCGATAGACAGTCTGGGAGAGGCTGAAAAGAATCTCTCTTATAGAGATTAAACATGACAAGGCCTTCAGAAAGGGAATGGAGCTTCATATTAAAAACTTCCTATCTAACAATGTTTACACATGAGGTCGCCTAGCCCATTTTGTGGGTCACTCTTAAACCATACCTAAGAGACTTTTTAATTGCTCATGCCTCTAGCTCCTGTGCAGGAAAACCTGAATGGGCTCCCAACTCTATCCCCTATGTAAATGGGCAGCCTTGGGCTCTGTAACTGAGACTATACTGCTTTCTCTACTGTTACTGGTCCTTGGCTGTGCTCTCTTAAGAGAGATACTTCAGGATACCATCCCTGTAACTGAGATTACATCCATGTAACTGAGACTACTAAACTGGCCTAGCAGGTGGTTGGCACGCAGATGACCCATTCACACATAAGGAACTAATTATTAGGGGAAATGTATAAGCCTTTGTAAAGATATGAAGACCCAGGAGAAAAACAAAAAACCAACAATTCCCTTTTCCCTATTTTTCTGACAGAAATATTAGACATTTTGGAGAGTACTAAAAAAACTCCTATGAAATATTTTCTTTTTTAGCATGAGTGAGATGCTTTTAAAGACAAGGGGGCATGGTGTTATATATATACATATACATACACATACTTACTCACTCATACACACACACACACTAGGAATAAGGCCCATTGTTGAAATAAATACAACAAGCTCTAAAAAGAGGCTCTGGGAGAGTGCCCTTGCCTTGGGCACTCAATTTCAATTTGCTGTGGTGACCTCAGCACCTCAGCAGGGTATAATGACACAGACTCTACCATTTTCTCCAGAGGAATTGATCTCTGATACCTCACCTGGACATTGGCAACAATGGTTCCCCAGGAGGAAATGGCTAGTTTGGAGTGTGGAGTCTATGGCATTGCACCTGCCTGAGGTCCCACCTGTCCTCAAACCCCACCCTCTCCAGGCTCCACCCCTCAAATCTCCAGGAATTTCCCACCTGAAGTTCGCAACCCTATATCCTTCCCAGCCAAGCATCAACCTACTTTTATTTCCCCCCTCACTATTCAGCTTTCCATCTCCCCCCACCTGCAGCCTCTACTGTGCTCTGAAGCCCTGACTGCCACATCACATTGGCTGTCATAGGGGGGCCATCTCAGCAATGTATAAGGACACAGTCCACCATTTTCTCCAGGGGAACTGATCTCTGCCACCTGGAGAGCAGTTGTGATTCTAAGTGATCTCCAGCCCTCACCTGGAGACTGGCAACAATGGTTCCCCAGGAGAAAAAGTAGTCTTTCTCTGCAATGGGGACCAAAGCAGCTTACATCATTCTCCTCTCCCCCTTTTGACTTGCACAACAACCCTGTGAAGTAGGTTAGGCTGAAAGTCTGTGACTGGTCGAAAATCATCCAGTCAGCTTCCACAGCAAGAACTTGGGTCTAGCAGACCCTGCTCTGAAGTACTGACTGCTATGCCTAGGATAGCCAACCTCCAGGTGGAGCCTGAAGATCGCGAAGTATCACAACTGAACTCAACAACAGATCTCTCTCTCCCCCTGGAGAAAATTAACTGCTTTGGACAGTGGCCCTCTATAGCATTCTGTTCAGCTGAGGTCTCTCCTCTTCCCAGACTCTGGCTTCCTCAGACTGGCTTCCTTAGACACAGAATCTCCCTACCTGGAGCTGGCAACCCTAGTCAGGACTGGCCCCAATGGAAAGGGTTTCATTCCTTTGTCCTTTTACTGACAGAACCAACCTTGGTTGCCTACCAACAGCCATTGAGGGAAAAGTTAGTCCCACAGAGGAGCCGAGCAGGTGAAATGTCTTCCTCAGGGACAGTGAACAGTGGCTGGAGTGGGCAGGGAACAGGAGCAGACCCAGCTCCCAGCCAATGGCACATGAGTACTCTTTTTTTAAAATACTTTTTATTAGTTTTTCAAATATAGAACATCAACAAATACAAACAACAGCAAACAGTGCATAAAATAGTAAGTAAATTATATATAATATTCTTGTCTTTAAAAAAAAAAAAAAAAGTAGGAACCAGCCTACGATAAAGTTGTACCAATTCTAGTAGAAACTTTTAAACAGCAAGACTACCAATCAATCAATATAAACGACAACTGTGAGGAATAATAAAGCAGTTCAAAAGTGAGCAAACATTCTATATATGTTGTTTTTTAGTTTTTTAGCTGTCGTATTGAGATATGTTAATACAGGGAACCAAGTATCAGCAAGCTTTGAAATATAAGAGGTAGATTCTGCACTTCGAATTTGATCTAAAATTTTAGCCACAATAAAGAAATCCCAAAGTTTGTTTACCCATTGTGAAACTAAAGGAGTTTGTTTATCTTTCCATTTTGAAGCCAGTACTAACTTAGCTGCCACAAGGAGAATCGCTATCAAGTCTTTTTTTTTTGGAATATTATTATCATGCCAAAAATTCAATAGGACCGTTTCTGGCAGCAATGGTACTTCGTATGTAGTAATAAGTTTGATTTGATATATAATTTTGATCCAAAAATCTTGAATGAGTGGGCAATCCCACCAGAATGAATGTAAGTACATTTTTGAGAGCATTGTTTCCAACAAAGAGGTTGTATGCTTGGGTGTGCATGGTTCAATTTTACTGGCGTTAAATACCACCTTGTTAGTAGTTTAAAAGATAATTGTTTAATGTTGATAATATTTGTGGAATAGATGTTTGATAGCCAAATATTTGACCACTGAGCTTCAAATAATTGAAGACTGCAATCTGTGTTCCAAGCCTTTTGGTATGGAAATATCTGAGGTTTAACTTGTGTATGTAATATAGTGTAGATTTTAGATAATAAACCTTTAGAGTTATCAGAAGAAGCCTTAATCAATATCTCAAATTTAGTTACAGGATTGGATAAAGATCCACGAATTAAATCGTTTTCTACCAAGTGTTTAACCTGCAGGTATTGGTACCAAGGTAAGTGTTGTGATATAGTTGTATCTAATACGGATTTGTCCAAGAGTTTGCCTTTTTTCAGGATATCTACAAATTGGATTAAGTTGCCCTGTTGCCATAGTTTGAAATCAGATATATTGGTTCCTGGTTTAAACCAGCTTTGGCCCAAGAAAGGAGACATAATAGAAGGAAATGGTACTAAACGTTTCCTATAAGCATCCCAAACTGTTAAATTACTTCATAAAAAGGCATTAGACATGACCTTTCAGAACGTAGATTCCATATTGTTTCGTGTAAATAGCTGTTTTGAGTATATGCTTGTGCTATATTACTCCAGTCATTTAATGTAGCTGGTTTCATCATTGCAATAACATTGCAGAGATGAGCTGCATTATAATATTTTATAATGTCTGGAACATTTAGACCCCCAGAGCTTGAAGGTTTACAAATAATTTTGTAACTAATTCTGGGTTTTTTAAAACCCCAGATAAACTCCAAAAACTTTAATTGCCAAGAGTGTAAAATTTTATAAGGTATTTTCAGTAGTAATGTTCTAAAAAGAAACAGTAGTTTTGGAAAAAGTACTGTTTTGAATAAGTAAATTCTATCCAACCAAGATAGAGTTAAATTATGCCATTCTTTCATTAAAGTAGTCATTGAGCTGATTAGTGCCTGATAATTAACAGATAATAAGTCAGCAAGATTAAGTGGGATCTTTGTGCCTAAATTGACCCAATAATTATTAATCCAGTGATAATTAAAAAATTTTTTGATATATTTGCAGGAGCCATTGGACAGGTTAATAGGATATAGATTGCTTTTTTATTGGTTGACCCGAAGGCCAGAAACCTGTCCAAACTCTTGTAACACTGATTCCAACTGTGGTAAAGAGATTTCTGGGTTTGTGATATACATGACAATATCATCTGCAAATAAGCACAATTTAAAATCATTTTGGTTCATTGTAAGTCCTGTAATGTTGTTATTTTGTCTAATAATATTGGCTAAAGGTTCAATTGCTATAGCAAAGAAAATAGGGGAAAATGGACAACCCTGATGGGTCCCTCTACATAGGACAAAATCATCAGATATAGCGCCATTTATTTTAAGCTGTGCTTTAGGGGTTGCGTATAAAGAATGAATTGCGTTTAAAAATTTATGTCCAAAGCCCATATGTAACAAAAGAGATTTTAGTAACTTATTTCAACACTATCGAAGGCTTTTTCAATGTCCAACGATAAAATCAAAGCCTCTTTTTGAAATTTTTATGAATGTGCTTCTCCAGTTGCACTTCATTCCAGTTCAAGGTCTTGGTTTTAACCTTCAATGCCCTTTGTTGTCTGGGACCAACATACCTTCTGCACTGTCTCTCCCAGTATGTCCCCTGAAGAGCATTACACTTGATGGATCAAGATTGGCTGGTGATCCCCGGCCCTAAAGATGTTTACTTAACCTCAGCCAGAGCCTTCTCAGCTCTGACACTGGCTTGGCGGAACACTTTCCTGACTGAGATTCAAGCCCTGCGGGACTTAATGAAGTTCCAATGCGATCTACGCGTCGGATGGGCCCGCCGACTCCAAAAGACCACCTGAGGAGCCTGAAGAAAGCGGATGGGAGAGGCCGAAGCCGAGAGCCAAGACGAGCTGACGGAACATCAAGCCGAATCCCACTGGGTGCTGGTAGGCAGTTCCGCCCCTAGCAATATATGTGCCGATAGATAGGGATGATCTACTATGTAAGCTGCTCAGAGACCCCGTGGGAGGGGTTCGAGAGGGGTATAAGTCGAATGTTAAATAAAATAAATAAAAATAAATAGAAACACTAGGGGGTAGGCATGACGTGGTTGTGAATGGAATTTGTTGGCTTTACCTATAACCTGTATGTTCCTGCGGTTTTCCCCCAGTCCTAACAAAAGCTCTTGAACCCACAGCAATCATGTCTCTAATAATGCATTACACTGCCAATAGTGTGTGTGGAGAGTGAATTAGCTGGGGATCTGACACCCACCCTTTTTTGTCGCTTTAAAATTCCTGAAAACTTGACATCTCTACTTCAGGGGAGTGAATTTCACAATACTGGGGCAACCACAGAAAAGGACCTGCTCCTGGTGGACACCACTGGCAGAGGTGAAAGGTATGTTGAGATGTTAACTTTTCTGCAACCAGTTAAACTTCCTTCTCTAGTCCAATTTTTCCATAAGTGTTTCCATTTTGCCTTGAGCTGTTTCACATGTCTTAACACAGAAGACACTGAACACAGTATCTTCCATGTAGCTTATTGTATGTGACAATCACAAGCATTTTAAAAAAATAAAATACACACAGACTGGAAATCTCACATCGGTCTCCCTGTATGCAGAGAAATGAGGCCCAGTGCAATTATTTATCAGATGGCAAGGGTTTTTATCTTGTGAAGGAGGAGGAGCCTGTAAGAACACACACCACTGTGTTCTGGACCTTCCCTCTCCTGAGCACATAAAAGTCACATGTGGTGCTGGTGTCCCACAGTGGTGCTCTGTGATCAAAACCCTGATCTGTGCAGTCTTTCTCTCCCTTTCCTGAGAAGGAAGAACAGTGCAAATCAGACAGCTACACACAAGCTTCACAGCACACATAAAAACTGCTCTTTCACCATGAAAAACTGCCACCGCATAGACTCAGAGGTACATGTAACTCATAGACTCAGAGTAACACATAGTAACACAGAGTAACACATAGACTCAGAGGTACATGTAACTAACATAGACTCAGAGGTACATGTAACTAGAAAACATCCATATAACTAGAAAACATAAATATAACAAGAAAACTAGGGGTACATATAACTAGAAAACATACATGTCATTGTCACTTGGATGAGGAATATGTCACTTGCATGTCAATTCCTGCTTGGAAGCTTTCTCCATGTTGTATTCGTATCACACATGTAGCAGCTGTTATATTATCAAACCCCTGAGCAAAGAATATCCCCATTGTATTCCTGACCTGAGCTGGACGGCCCAGGCTAGCCCAGTCTTGTCAGATCTCAGAAGCTAAGCAGGGTCAGCCTTGGTTAGTACTTGGATGGGAGACCACCAAGGAAGTCCAGGGTTGCTACTCAGAGGCAGGCAATGGAAACCACCTCTATTCATCTCTTGTCTTGAAAACCCTATGAGGTTGCCATAAGTTGGTTGCAACTTGACAGCATTTTCCACCACCATTCCTGACCTCCTGTTGGAACCAAAATGTGTGAGAGGGTGTACAGTACCTTTAATAGAAACAAAGAGGTTGATATCAAATGTATAAGGCTGGTCATCACAGAGGTAGGGCAGAGGTTTGGGATCCTGAAAGAACAAAAGTAGTGTTATAGCCACTACACAGAATTATTTATTTAGGACATTCTTATGCCACCCTTTCCCCGAGGAGCTCAGAGCGGGTACACTGCTATGTGCTCCTTCAGTTTATCCTCAACAGCTCTATGAGGTAGGTTAGGCTGAGGGAGAGTGACTGGCCCAAGGTCACCCACCAGACTTTGTGGCACAGAGAGGGATCTGAAACTGGGTCTTCCAGATCCTAGTCTAATACTCTAACCACTACATCACACTAGGTTCTCACTCATGCAGGTTCATCACAGCTTGGTGATCTGCCTGTGTAAATGAGTCATCAGAGACCAAGCAATACAGGGAGAACTTTGATATCCACAACGATGTTCATCGTTGTGAGCCTGTTCACACATGCAGGTCGCCTGCTATCAGATCTAGAGGAATTGATGCACACTCATGTGGGAACTGCCCATAGGAGAAGCCACTGCAAGTCTGATTGCATCTGATCAATTTCGCAGTGTGGAATTTGAAATAACTGTTCCAGTGCACACTGGCAAGAAACTTTATACATGTTAATGTTTTTATGTTAATTTTTGTAGTAACAGGCTACTGTTTGAAAGGGAGTTGTTGATCTCAAAAAAACCCAGAATTGAATCCTTATATCCAGACTGCAATGCAAGCTCAAAGCCTCAGTTGCTTCCAAAACAAATATCTCAGTTAATATTCCCCATATTAGTCTTTTTCCCCCAGAATCCCAAAGCATGGCTTGGATTCACCAGAGTGTTTGCACAGATGGAATGAGCTCTGTTTGTAGAGAGTCACTTTCTGGTCTCCCACCTTCTATAGCAGCCCCATATACTCCCAGGGAGGCTGCTCCTGGGAAACAGGAGCTCTGGGCGTAGCCTTTGGGGGACATTTTAGGGTAACACAGGGAGGCCACACAAACGCTCCAGTAGATCCAAGCCCATGGGTTCTATTTAGAAAACAACCAATCATAATAAACCTTGAGTTTGGCAAGTCAATGGTTAACATTATAAAAATTAATCCATCTCATTAACAAAAAAAGCATCCATTAAAGTTGAATTGCAAAAGTGAAATTTGATAATATCTCACCAAAAGTCCATTTCAGATGATAAAGTGATGTCAATTGCCAAACTGGCACAAACTTTTTAGTTCACATTCCCACATCAGAACTGGCAGCCTGGCAGCAAGACAGGCTTGTCAAGCAGCAAAGCAAACATGGAGACCAGTTCGGACTGTAGCTGACCAACAGAAGTTTTTCAGACTAGACTCAGCAGCGTTAGGCTGAGCCCAAACTGTATTGGCTCCTGGGTCACTAGACCCTTGCTGAGCTGGTGACTGTAGTACCACCATCATGTCACTATAGTTGGTGATGCTGGAGCATAGTCATGCTAGCAGCTTCTCCTGGGACAAACTACCACAATAGGACAAAGTTTGATGCCTGAATCCCCCTGCTGAATTGAGATTGCCCAGTGCTTTACTATCGTGTTAAGATGAGAAAGAAGAGGATGCTTTCAACGCACTTAGAATCAAGTGTGGTGTGTGGCAGTTATGCACACATTTCCCTTTCCAAAAGACAAAATACATTTGCTCATGCTTTGCTAACCTGGATGGGGTTTGGCAGCACAAATGGTTGCAGAGCTTCCATTGTGACCACCCATGGAGAGATGGTCGTACCAAAGCTCTTGCCCAAAAATGGGCCCAGAGGAACATATTCCCACTTCTGAATGTCACGAGCTGGAAGTGAGGGAGAAGACAACAGCAACGATATTATTATACTATATTACTGCCCTTGGTCAAAAAGTGTTCCTGGTTATTTCAAAACCAGCCATTGATTCTTGACCTCTGTGGTACTCTCCCAGGTGCAAATCTTTCTTTCAACCAGTATTTCTTCTCTTGGGCTGAGTTCTCACAGAGGCGATTAACCAGCACAGTTACGTCTGACTCATCTTCTCTCCTCTGCCCCATTTACGATCTGAGTAGCTCAGCCAACAAGAATAGTGTCTGCCCACATCCCTCTATGACATCAGGCTAGATCAACCAGTCCTACCAGAAAGTTCACCACCACCAAATTCCTTAATGTATTATAGATATTTCAACAGATAGCTATATATCTAATAGCTATGCGTGGCCCCCAATTGTAGCTATCTAAATCTGTGGATTGAGGCCACACCAACACTAAACAGGTTTTTCTGCAAACCTGGGGGACTCCCCAGGTTTGCAGAAAAATCTGAAATGAAAAAAAAATACACTGGGGGTTTAAATTCCACTCAAATTAAAAAAGCATTGTCTGTGCATGTGCAGACAATGCACTTACCTTCATTCTACAAGGTAATGCTGGGAGCCACTCAGGGCCTGGCTGTGGTGGCAGATGCTGGCAGCCTCTCCAGGTCCTACAGTGGTGGACGATGCCGGGAGCTGCTCAGAGTCTGGCCACAGTGGTGGATGAGGCTGGGAGCCACAATGCTGGGGGCTGCTCTGGGCTCAGAGCAGCTCCCAGACAGCACCATTGTGGTTGGGCTCCAAGGTGAATAGCGGGGCCTGGAGCCACACCAGGCTCAGTAATTGGGATGGGGGCGAATGGGTTGCCAGCAAGAGTCTCAGCCCCCACTTGTATCTGTCTATATATCTAATAGCCATAAGCAGTCCCTGCTGTGCAGATGTACAACATGGCAACTGATGGCTATGGCAGACAAAATACAACAAAAAAAGCGAGACCTTGTTGCCATTTTGGTTTGGCAATATTCCTAATTTTGTAAACTATTCTCCTAATTTTTGTAAAGTTTCTTTTTTTGGGGAACTTTCCACTGACATGAATGGCTAACTTAATAGCACTATAGTCCCTGTTCCCAATCAGCACGAAAACATTCTCTTCTTACACCAGGTCTTGAGCCCCACTAAGAACCAAGCCTAATCAGCTCTAGTTGGCTCCATGAACAACTATTCCAGTGTGCAGTCATTTATGACATCCAGAAACCTCATCTCTACAGTATGAGCACACATTTGCCCAGTCCACCCATCTCCCTTATTTCCTCCTCCATATGACCTTCTCTTGAATGTTTCCAGGGGCTTCTTCCTGAAGTACCAAAACTGTATCTCTTACCACTCCAGTCGTTCATTAGAACCATCCCAAAGATGTGTTTGTGAGCATCATGGATGGGAATCGCCTCCCCAAGTCTGTTTCCAGGGCCCACAAAGAATGCCTGAAAAGCAGCAGAAGATGAACCCCCAAAAGTGGGAACTGTGGTTTTATACAAAGGTCCATGAGAAAGACCATTAGATAAGCTCAAGGGCTACAGAGAGGTAAGCATGCAACTTCGTCCATTTGTTTTCTTTAGTTTTATTTGGGTAACAAAGACCCTTTGGTGCTTAGGCAATTGTGGACCCAGAGGTTTGTGAGGCAATGGGGTCAAAGGCATGGTGCTGAGGGGTGGAACTGCACATACTGAATGAGCCAGCCAGATTTTTGGCTGTAGGAATCAGTATGCACCTAAGGGTTTAGCAATGAGTGAACCTGCCCATATCTTCCTGG